GTCCATGTTCCATTCTCTTTTTGTCCTTCCTTCTTCATAAAAATTATAATTTTAGACTTGTCTTTAAAGCCTATAACCTAAAAGAAAAAAAAATTAAGATGTTTGCTCTCTTTTTCAAACTTAACGGGGAGTATCCTATATCATCTGTATACAACGAGGACGACACAGAGCTAATGTTGTTTTCTACACGAAATGATGTTGTTGTTTGTTATAAAGCACAAAGCTACACAAAGGGCTATCCGTGCTCTGCCCACCAGGGATATCGAAACCCGGTTTCTAGCGGTATAATTCCGCAACGAAAATGACTGAATAATCTTTGTTTAATTGTTCAAAAATATCATTTACGTACTTGTTTGTAGATATTAATAAAGTTCCTTTCTTCTTTAAAATTATACATATCTTTTCTTCTATATAGCCTCAAGACTTTTAATTCTTTTCAGTTTTCGCTTCTGTGCGGTTTCTATCCCACCATCTGGGTAAATTTTTATCTTGCAGTTTTTCTCTTCTTTCGTCTGACGAACATGAAATCTACGACAGTATTCGAAGCCAGCAACCAGTGTTCGCGTTTCCTGTAGGCAGGGTATAACTCTCTTTAACACTACTTTCATTAACATTTTTGGTTAGAACGTTTAATATATATAACTATATGTATATATTTTTATTACACTGTAATAAGTTATATTTTAATGTAATTTAAATTTTAGCTAGAGAGAGCTGTGGTTTTTATGATAACGTTCAGATCAAAAGGTTTAATAAGATAGGTCTACGACACTTAAATAGTTCTAAAGATATGACAAAGAATTATAATATATTCGAAAGTATATTATATATACAGTGTAGTTACGAAAGTGTCGAAGGAATCAGTCTCTTAGCTACCACAGTTACTTTATGCTCGTAATTTATTTTATTTTTTTAGGTTAGCCCTAGTTTGTTAGAAGTTCGAATGTCATTTGTAACATAGGCCTTCAACAATTTACAACAGTGTACAAGCGTTCTACCATATATAAAGCGTTAAAGGATGAAATAATTTTTTCTTGTCATATGAAGTAAACGTTGAATTATTTTCATCAACAAAAGAACGTTAAACCGACACTTTTAGTATAGAAACTGTTATATACTGTTCTTAGTATACGGATTTGGGCTTAACTTAAATATCCTAAGATGACCGAACCTTGTGAGATATTGGGTTTACGGACACAAATATCGTTAACAGCAAAGATACCCAACTGATAAAACAATGCATTCTAATTTTATAAATAGGAACACAATAAAATTATACTTTATTAACTATATCCGTTACCGGGGTGATTTTTAGTTTTTACTTGAGAAGATAACTTGTTTTATGTTCCATACATTTAGAGTTCCGTTAAATTTCGCACAAGCTATACAAGTACTTTCCTAATTTTGAAGTGATAGACTAAAGGGAAGGCAGCTAGTCAACACACCCACTTCCAGCTTTTGTCCATTTGTTTGTCTTAGAGCAAAGCCAAATTAGGCTTTCTGCTGCGTCCACTATGGGGATTCAAACCCTGGATTTCAGCGTTATAAGTCCGTAGACTTACTGCTATCTCATCGGAGGACACCAACTCTTGTCAGACCGAATTATAGGATTTGACCGTTAATCTAGCCACAGTCCTGTACTCGACCTATAAAAATCTGTATTTGCACTACTGCCTAACATCTTTCATCATTAACTTTCTTTACAAACTCATTTTGGGACTAAATATTGAAAATCTCTCAACTTATCATACATATATTCACTATTCGTCTTGAAGCGGAAATGAGTCTGAATTGCCCTGTAACAGATAATAGGATGTCAAATCGTTCTCATGTACAAGGATATTTGTAATTAATTTCATAATATTAACTGAACCAATAATCACAAGTCCATCCTTTCCACTTATTAACATAAATCCACATTTCTATCTACCTCTATAAACAAACAGGTCATTGCTATATAATTTTGATAATTCATTTCAAAGTCACTTACTGTTTCTTTCGATTTCCAATTTTTATCAAACGAGTTTGCAATTAATTTATGCTAACAATTTCTTATCTAAATATATATATATTATTAACAATTATTTATTAACTACTCTAGTTTATAAAGAAAAGTAATTTTTATTTTAAAAACATTACAAACTGATCCAAACGTTTTGAAAAACAATGTTTTTTTTATGTAACTGAAAATAACACGACATACAAAAAACATTTAACTTAGGCCAAGTTAAAAAAAAATGTTTAGCGTCCGGAGTTTTCGAAAAATCAAGATCTTTTTTTAATGACCTATTTTAAAGAAAGTTTGCACCCTTTTTCATGGTTATTGCTTGTTTTCAAAGGGTCCATATCAAACAGAAGTTTTCTTTGTTTCATATTTCCATTAAAACGATACAGAATTTATGGCAATTAAAAAGGACAAAACTAATGTGTTCATTCCATTTTTTTTTATTCAGAAGTCTTCGTTTCTTTGTATGATCGAAAATCGAGAATTTGAAATAATCGCCAAAAAAGTGGGAGGGAGGAGGCGGCTACAAAAAAAGAAAGCGGGAGTGGATGCTAAACATGTATTCTTTTTTTTACTTAGCCTCACTTTAAAAAATACTTAAAACATCACATAACCAACTGACAAAAACTAACAGCATTAAAAAAGGAAGTGTCACCCTATATCATAATAAAGGTATGAAAAGGTCACCCTAAATCATAATAAAGTTATGAAAAGGTCACCCTAAATCATAATAAAGTTATGAAAAGGTCACCCTAAATCATAATAAAGTTATGAAAAGGTCACCCTAAATCATAATAAAGTTATGAAAAGGTCACCCTAAATCATAATAAAGTTATGAAAAGGTCACCCTAAATCATAATAAAGTTATGAAAAGGTCACCCTAAATCATAATAAAGGTATGAAAAGTCTGTTATTTTATGAAAACAATAATAAAAACTAGGAACGTGAGGAAGGACGAAGTCACAATTTCGTTTAATTGCGGTGTTTCAAATATGTCATGATTCAAAAAAATTAATGATCCGATAATTAGTGCTTAATTTGAGTATACTAAAATTCCTACAGAACAGCGTGGTTTTGCCTTTTATCGAATTTCGGTATCTAATGGGTATGTAAATAATTTTACTATCTGGTGTTATAGATTGTATTCACAATATATGGTCATTAAATTCAAAAAGGTTCAATACTGACAACTCAAGCAAAGTGTTACTATGATACACTCGCATATAGATAACTATATTTGGGAAGAAGCTGTTAACAGTAAGACACACAAGATATCCACTATTTGAGACAGATTTACTAATAACAGCAACTTCACACATTCAAACACTGTCTACCAAGGGGTTAATGAAAGCAAATCAAACAAAAAAATATCAAGGAAAAGAATTATCAGGTTTTTAACCCTCAAATTAATTACCAGCTATCTTTATATCTTTCATTATCAGAGATATGCACGTTGTATCACACTGGGTAATTTTATAACAAATCATTGTGCACAACTAATACCAAATAAATGAAATCACGCACTTTTTTATGCAAAATATATAAGGTATATAAGTAATAACTACCAGACTTAATTGTCTCTATTCGTTTTGTATAAGTTTTATGTTGTTATGACTCCTGTAACCAACAGCTGTGAGCCCATAAGCAATTTAGTGCATAAATAGTTTAATAAAATGTATTTGAATCCTACGTGATCCAAACATCATCAGTAAATATGAGAATAAAATACAGTTCTTATATTTTTTTATGAATCTCTAAGTAGTTCATCTATTATAAATCTGGTCAAGTTTTCCAATTTACTTGTGGAAACATCTATAAAATGTTTTCACCCACAGGAAATAGTTTCATTTATTACAGAACCAATGTGCAAATTTCTTAAATAACACCATAAAAATAACAACAGGAATTTCACACACATAGGTTATGGAGGATTTAGATTACCATATATTGCATTCGTATTAAAATGAATGACATGTGAATGCATACTTTTCAAGTTGCAGCTATGCAATTTAATGATTTAATTGAAACTGCAATTAAATTTTTATGCGAAATACTGAGTGTAAGTAAAATACATCATTTTAACTTTCAAAAATACACAGAAAAAAAATATTAAGTGAATAAGCTTATACTTTTTTTTATTTTGGCTCGGAAAACTTTACAATGCTCTTCACATTCATTGTTCAACAACAATAACCAATCAGGTATGACCTTGCAACTATTTTATTCTATGCAACAAACTGCCAACCAGTAATTTAAGTGACCTTTTACATTACAAAAAGTTTAAAAAAATCAAAACAATGTGTTTTCTGTACATAATGTCCTTTTCTAATATGCTTGACTTAGCTCTGTATGATTTGTGCCACTCTCAGAACAAAACCAAAACCTACACTAACTGATACACAGCTGTTCCAGAGCCAAAAAATACAGAGAAAAATGGCACCAATAAAGCCCAACTAAAATATATGCAAGTTTAAAAAAATTAATGTAATGAAAAATAGTTACAAACAAATATGAATATTCTGTCATCTTAAACCTGTTTTGACAGAAATTTATGGAATATTTTATGAACCAAGTTTAACCAAGAAAGAATTTGGTCTTCGTAAAGCATTTATACTTTTGAAAGAAAGCTGGATTAGGTTCATAAGCAATTTAAGGCACTACTGCAATAACCATTACATTCCCAAAGAAACTGCTCTTAGGTTACATTAAAAAAAAAGATTCCTAATTTATTAGTCAATGTTAAGTATAAAATTTTTACTAAAACTCTTTAACCATTTTTCTCAGTTC